GATAGCTTTGCAGGAGACAAGACCAGAGAGAGATAGGCTGACCTTTTAAGATATTATTACAGTATTATTAGAGTTGGAATATTTGGGCTTGAATAAGAACATTGCTATTAGTGACACAAAAGGGAAAGCAAAGAATTATTTAGTAGGAAAACTATCTGATGGCCAGGGAAGGAGGACAAAGAAAGAATGAAGCTTACATGACGAAACAGCATAGGTGAAAATTTCAAGAAAATATTTGTAACTAAATACTAAATTATTAGTCAAGAGTAATACAATAGAAAGTCTCAACTATCTTTCTGACTGACTTTATTGTGGAGGAAGTTCATATATATCTAAGTTTGTTTTAAAAACTATTTTTGGAGAAATTTTGAATTCACAGTGTTCTAATCAGCTTTTTCACTGCTGTGACTGAAAGGCACAACCAGGACAACTGTAGGGGAGGAAAAGTTTATCCGGGACTTATGGTTTCAGAGGTCTCAGTCCGTAGGCAGCTGACTCCATTCCTCGGGGCTAAAGGTGAGGCAGAACAATATGGCAGAGGAAGGCAGTTCATGCGATGATCAGGAAGCAGAGAGAGAGAGAGAGAGAGAGAGAGAGAGAGATTCTACTCTCCAGTTACAAAATATATACCCCAAAGGTACTCCCCACGGGATCCACCTCCTCCAATCATACCCTACCCACCTGCAGTTACCACTCAGTTAATCCTACTAGGAGAATAATTCACTGATTGGGTAAAGCTCCCATAACCCAATCATTTCTCCTTTAAACCTTGAATCGTCTCACACTTGAGCTTTTGGAGGATGCCTCACATCCAAACCATAACACATAGCAAAATTGGGAGGATGGTACAAAGATTACCCTGGTTTCCTTCCCTACATGTATAGCCTCCCTGTTATCAATATTCCCTAACAAATCTGTATCTTTATTAAAATTCATCAACCTTAATCATAATATCCCAAATTCATCTTTATATTCAGTTTCACTTTTGATGTTGCTGTGGTTTGAGTGTCTTCATTCCTCCCAAACTCATGTTGAAACTGAATTCCCAATGCAGCAGCATTAAGAGATAAGGCCTTTAGGAGGTTATCAGGCCTGAGGGCTCCGTCTTTGAGAATGGGATTAGTGAACTTATCAAAGTGTCATCAGCTAGCCCTTTTACTACATGAGGATACCTAAATGATGCCATCTATGAAGAAATATCCAACCTAAAATCCTTTTTTTTTTTTACTTTTTAAAAATTTGATTTATTGATATTCTGTTTGATGTAAATACTCATCATACTTTTTTTCTTCTTTTTATTTTTTTTTAATTTTTTAAGCAGTCATTTTTTATTAGAATTTTGAAGAAAAAAATATTAGATGGCACTAGTAAAGCAGAATCAGGCAGCAGTTATTAAACTGAATGCTGTTTGATAGAGCTGCAGAGAGTAGGTAAAAGGAATTAAAATTATCATAAATTTTTAAAATATGTGTGTCTTATTTGCTCATTTGTTTTATTATACTGGTCAGTTTAAGACATAGTTCCTTTTAAAAATTTTGTTTACAAAATAAAATGTGAAGAAGAATGTTTTGTTGAAAGGAAAAAAATTGAGTCTACAAAACAAAACTAGATGGGTCACTAGGACAATAGGCATAGAATGGAGCTATCTTTTGCAAGCAGGCAGTATGGTTGGTCACAGTGTAAATCAGCTTTCCATTGCGGTGACAGAATACCTGAGATACACAATTTAGAAGGGGAAAATGTTTATTTTGGCTCATGGTTTCAGTCCATGTTCACTTGGATTAGTTGCGTTTAGGCCGGTGGCAAGGCAGTACGTTGTGGCAGAAGCAGGTGACAAAGGAAAGCTTCTCACTTCATGGTAGCCAGGAAGCAGAGAAAGAGGTCTGGATTTCAATATACCCATAAGGGCATCCCCCAGTGACCTACTCCCTCCAACTAGAATCCACCCCAAAGCTTCCACCACCTCTTTTTTAAAATATTTTTTTTTAGTTGTAGATGGACATAATATCTTTATTTATTTTTATGTGATGCTGAGGATCAAACCCAGTGCCTCATGCATGTAGGGCAAGTGCAATATGACTGAGCTACAACCCCAGCCTTCGCCCACCTCTTAACAGTGCCATCAGTTGAGGACCAAGACTTCAACAACATGACCTGTGGGAAGATATGTAAGATCTAAACCATAGTAGTCACCCTACCTGTAAAGTCAGGAATAGGTTCCATGTGCTTACTCCTGAAGAAACAGCTTCATTACCTCCTCTTGTTATTTGTTCATTTTTGCTAGGGATGTAACACACATGGTTTTGCACTCTAGCGTTTGCTACCCAAACTCATGGTTTGCTTATCTCAGTTGCTGTTCTCGAATTGCATCTCCTATTAGTGTCCATGGAAGAGGGACTGCTGGCTCTGAACCTGTCTGAGGCTGTGCTGGATGTGATCTGCCACTGGAGCAGATCTGAAAAGTCTGGATCCATCTTTGGAGGAGGAGATCTTATCAAGTCCCAGGGGGAGAAATGATGACATTTCAGTGATTTCTTTTAAAATGTTGACTTTGAAATCTTCATAACTGATTTATGAAAAGTTGAAGATAGTGGATTGGATGACAGAAGCAGGAATAGGACTTTCATGTTTCAGTCCTTTGGGGCAAGCTGGGACCTATTTCCAATTAGCCTATAGCTTTTTTTTTTTTTTTAATTAACCATTTGCCTTATTTTTTTCCCCTTCAAAAACAGTTGCTGTAGAGAAGAATAAAATACTTTTTGTGTACTTTTAGTATTCAGCATGTTCCTGTCTCTTAGTATGAAATAGAAGACCAAATGCTACAGATTTTAACAGATGTGCTTAAAACATTAGATATATCAGTATCCTCTGAGTGAAGTTGACAAAATTATGCTATGTGCATGTATGAATATATCACAATGAATTTCAATTTTATATTTAAATATAATGCACCTATTAAAAAGTAAATACATAAATATAAGGAAGACCAATAAAGTAGAGGAAAAGAACAGGGGTAGGGAAGAGGGGAGGAAACGAGGATTGTGAATAAACTATGTTATATGCATTTATGAATATGTCAAAATGAACCCCACTATTATATATAAGTACAATGCACTAAATAATAAATATATTATTAAAAATATTCAAATCACTTTATCTGATTTTAATAATTTGTAGTTTGCAATCAGGAGCACATGAGAGGTTCTAAGTAAAGCATCTAGTACAATGTTTGGCAAATAAGTGGCCAATAAATTGTAGCTATAATTGTTAGGTAAGGAATAAGAAATTTTATGTAGTAGTCCCAACTTTGGAGAAAAATAAGTTTTTCATCCCCCACTTCAGCTTCTTTCTCACTCCCCTGCCTTCCTGTACATATGCACCATCTCTGGAACCCAAATCCATTGGCATTTCTTTGGACTACCATTATGACATTGACTATCCTGTTTTCCTAGCCTAGCATCTTCTGTTCCGGGTTTATCTTTCTCATTTACTTTATTCCAGATCTCCCAGTCTTATGATCTGTTTTTCTGCCTGCAATGTCTAACCTTGAAAAGGTTTTGTTAATGTCATTTATGCCAAAACGTTAAAGTCTAACATAATTTTCATATGCTAATCTTGCCAAGAGGTATTTCCATTTTAATGAAGGTCAACATCATAACCTAATCGAATAAAAGTGCAAAACTTAATTTGGAGGCATTAGTAATAGGGAGAGAAGGAATGGTTTTAAAGACAGGGACTCAATGGCAACAATAAAAATAATTAATAGCTAACATTTATTCAGTGCCAACTCTATTTTGCACTGTATTCTATCTGCATTAACACATTTAACCCTCACGGCTAATAAATTACGTGTTCTTATTTTTTATATTTTTCTGATGAGGAAAATGAAGCTAAGAGAGGTAAAGCAAATTGACAAGATCATATACACCCAGTACATGGAGAACACCTGTTTGAAATGCAAGTCCATCTGCCTTACCACCTTTTCCTATGCCATCACTTATAGACCGAGTTTCCATCAGGATGGGGATCCTCCTGCTCTTGCATTTGCTATAGCCTAGTGCAGTTGCTGGCACAGGGTAAACTGTCAATTAGTAGTTGATGAATGAATTAATGGAAGAATATCCATTCTTTCCAAAATCTCCTCTCCACTTACCTCTTGGATTTCCTCTTGCTTAGAAGCCCGCCTCACCCAGTATTCTAAGTATTCATAGGTACTCTTCTACCTCCTGACTTTGTGCCTTTGTCATCCTGTCTGCTCTGCCTACAATCCTTCACTTCCCATAAGTCTCTGGGCCACCTCCCTCACCTGGAGAGAGACAGAGCTGGAGAGTGGTCTCTTTTCAAGAAGCTCTGCTTATTCTAACTTCTCTTATATCCTTTCCCTCATGATTTCCTCTCCTCATCCCACCCTAGCCCAATACAGCCAGGATTGTTGCCATATCTGTCTTTTCCACTAGGCAGTGATACTTTAGAAGGCAGATGTCTGACATATTTTGTATCCTTTATTTGTACCTAACATATGTTTTTATCTTTTTTTAATCTTTTTTTTTTCATTCTTCTAGCCTAGACAAGTTTATTCATTCTAAGCTATTTTTCCTTATCTTAATGTCTCTGATTATGGTCAGTTGATAAAATCTTAAAATTATATCTAACGGTGTTTTTTTTCCAGACTTGGTAAAACAAAAATAGGGATTGTCATCTTCTGCAATCAATGACATCTTTGATTTAATAAAATGCAGTGATGGATATTAAATAAAGATTATATGTGTGAATGAATGAATGGCTGAATGACATTCATGTTCCCCCTCAAATTACATTATGAGTCCTACTGAAAACCTAGCGTTTCTGCCTTACAGGTATTGTGGCAGTGGAACAGTTTTGCATTATTCTTTCTGCTAGTCTTTTCTTGTAAAAGTAAGGCAGATAATAAATCAGCTCAAATTGTTCTTAATCACTTCTTTTTGTAATGGTGTAATCTGTTCTGTATATTTATCTTCTAGGTGAAATTGATCTTCAAATTCTCTCCAAAGTTCAGGTTCAATACCCAGGAGTGCATATCAACAATGAAGTTGTTGAACCGAGTGCAGAACAAATCACCAAATACAAAGGTACCTGTAGCCTTTGGTGCTATATGCCAAATCTTATCCACAAAGGCTTATCATCTCATATTTTTTTGCCTTGAATGATTAATAATACAGTGACTGTGGTATGCTCTTTGTAAGCTTCTTTGGAGAAGAACCTAATTAATTCTTAAAGGCATGAATGAACGCCTCAGCCTGTGAACAGTGAATAATTAGACTCTTATTGACTCTCTATCCATTCCCATGTCGTCATCAACTATTAGTTTTAATTTTTATTCTTAGGGTCAGAGTCATTCATTGATTCAGAATATGACAGAATTCCTGCCCTTAAATAGCTTATCTTTAATGGGTTACAACAAGAATTGGCTTTTTTTTTTTTTTTTTCTGAAAAGGGCCAAGTAGTAAATGTTTAAGACTCAGAAGGCCACTAGTCTCTGTCACAGCTAATTGACTTTGATGTTTTGGCACAAAGCTCGCCATAGACAGTATTTAAACTGAATATTAGTGTGTTTCAATAAAACTTCATTTATAAATGCTGACATTTGAATTTCATATTCACAAATTATGAAATATTGTCCTTCTTTTGATTTTTCTAGTCATTTAATAATAATAAAATAATTAATAATAATGTAATAGCATGAAACATGAATGACAGGAAATAGAACAATATATGTTTTTAGTTTATAGTTCATGCAAAATAGGTGGTAGACCAGATATAGTCCTGGGCCTTGGTTTCCTGCTCCTGATTTCACAGTCATATTACCTGTTTCATATCAACTTTACATTAATAAAATTTACTAGTGGATTCCCCATTAATACTAAGATAATGTAACCTATATCTAACCAGGTTCTCATAATTATTTCTTATTGACTCTTCCTTTTGCCTCTAATTTTATTTAATCCTGGGAAAAAATCAGAATGAGCCCCAAGGTTTCCCAGACCTGCATAAAAAAGAAAAATGTGTTTTATATCTGTTATGTATATAACATTGATTGCATTAAAATTCTAAATGGAAATTGGTTCCACATTTGCAATTAAAATTGATGGTGTGCCACCTCTTCTCTGTATTTTAGAGCTTGTAGCCAAGACATCAAACCTCGAGAACATAAAGTTTGCTTGGCATAAAGAGACATCATCTGAATATCAAAATAGAATAATGGAGAAAAAAGAGCTTCAAAAGTGGGACTTTATTCATATGATTCAGGTAAGAAATATTTATTATAATAATACTATCAGAAGGGAGATTTTTCAGAAATATTCATCAAGCATGTGTAAAATTTTAATGTTTTTTTAAATGAAAATTTTGTGATTTCTCATTTTACAAGGGAGTATTATCTGTCCAAATACAAGTATTGATAAAATTCTCCTTAACATCCCATAAGGCCAATTTTCTTTATTCCATAGTCATCACTATATCTATATATCTATATCTATCTATCTATCTATCTATCTATCTATCTAGATATAGTTTTCTGCAGTGAGAAACCCACACAGATTCATATACAGTAGAACGAATACATAATAGAGTGAATATATGTCCTGGCTAGTTTTCCAGTGACCCAAATGGTCTGGAATGTACATTTTTTCTAAATCCTTTTTTGCTTTAGCCTTTAATAAACAGCCTGTATACTGTGTATAAAGCAAAAGGGGCAAGTTTTATGATTCCTCAGATCAATAAAGTCTTACTGATATCAGCCAGTCATTCAGCAGGACTTTATTTCTACGTCTAGCACCAAGAGCCTAATGAGTGATAACTCTTGAATAGAGGACCAGATGAATAGATGAATTTCCAGCCTTCAAGGATATTTCTGGATAGCATGAGCAATGTCTAGGCTTTGAGAGTTGGCTACTACCAGCAGATGTGCATATTTCAGATCTACCACTTGGTGAATAACAAAACACTTTTTCTGTTCTATAGACCACAACTATAGTTAGACCAAAGAAATAAACTCATGAAGAAACCAAAAGAAGAAACGACCCCAAGGTTGACATATTTAGGCAATCCTATACCTCTGTTCCCTTGGTTGATAAAACCTTTTCTGCATGAGGGGGCACTTAATGTTGTTAAGCAAGCCTTGGGTGTTTGTCTATTATACTTGCTTTCCCCCCTGCTCACATAACTATTTCATAACTCCCTTCTTTCCTTATTCTCCTGCAACCTCCCCCTACCATTCATCTCCAGCTGATGACCTCACTTCTTATTGTGTGAAAACCATATAAATTATCAGATGAAAACTCATCTCTCACCCTCTTAACTTGCAAACACAGCTGCATTTGTAACCATCATCTCCTGTCTTCTTGCAGAAGCCTCCTCTTATCAAAAGCCAGTTCTTCCACTAATGCTCTGATTCCCATTATTTTCCCTGTTCTAAAATACTGTGACTTTAGGCATCAGCTTCTTTGTCGTCCCCCACCCCCAGACTTCCATGTTTGTCCTTTCTTCCTCACAGCATCTCTCTTTCCTTTATCTACTCAACATTTTCTGAGCTCTATCTCTTCACTGCTACTTCAGTCCTGACCCTCTCCCGATATTCACAGTCAGCCCACAGGTCTCCCTGTGTCTTAGATAAATTCAGGATGTCTGCTATGGCCCTGTCTCTTTTTCATCCAGGTCATGTCATAGGTATTTAGCCATCTTGTGGATCAGCCGTGTTGGTGCCTGTCTGCGCTCCCTGTGGTGGGCAATGTGGAGTGACCTGGCACTCAACACGGCTGCTGAGGCAGTATGGGCCATAAGCAGCTTCATTCTACTTCATTCATTCACGTGAGAGAGTCTACAGCTTAAGTTGTTTTCCCTTGGTGCAATGAATTCTGTTATGAACACACTATATGGAATATTGAATTCTTGTCTGAGAGAGAGGAAGGTGAGATATAAGAAGTGTCTGTGGGGTGGTTAGCCACTTGGGCATGAAAATCATTAGGGAAATTTTCCCACTCCCAATGAATAATATCACACTCTGTGTGTTGGCTAGAAAGTTCTGCACTTACTAAAAGAGGGTGGGCTGACCCCTAACACTCTATGATTAAGCATGTAGCTTCCTGCTTTTTTCAGGTCAATGTCCTAGACATCAGAATTTGTCACATTTTTCTGTGATTTTCTTTCTTTTTTTTTTTTTTAAAAAAAAAAAAAGCATTTGTGAGCACATGGAGAAGCTAGTACAAAGGACTTAATTTTAAAGCAACGTTCCATGAAATGGGGTCTGATTTTATGGTGCCAGCACCATTTTCTCCCAGAAGACTGCAGTTCACAAAATATAGAATAGGCAGAGGATCGATGTCCCCATGTGGAATGGAATCAAAGTGTCTCCAGCTATAAATGTCTGTGTTATAGAAGCCAGAAGTAAAATTTAAACCTATTTGGCTTTAATTGAACAAATGCCATAGTTTTCCATTTTCCCAAATATTTTCTCATGCTGTTGTCCTATCTCTCCATATAACATCTTTAATCTTTAAATGTCTTAAGAGTTTTATTGGATAAAAATTCACTGAACTTGAAAATCAAACCTTCTAGTCCAAGCAACAAAGACTCCAACACAGAGCAATGTCTCATTTCTCTCTTTTTTTTTTCTTTTTCCATTTCTCTTTCCCTCCTATCTAGATGCTGTATTATGTAGAAGATATTCCAGCTACCCTGAAATTCTTCCATAGTCTCTTAGCTAACAATGCTAAGATTCTCATTATTCTTGTATCAGGTACGTTATTTTTGTTCAGCCTGAATTTTAAAATGGCAATAGTGCATGTATGGATTCATGTGTTTGAGGAGATCTAGTATATTTTGTCATTGTTATAGAATTCTTGCCTTAGTTTCTGACTCCAATCAATTATTTTTTATACTATTAAGGAAGTCTTTTGCTACATTCTTAGTTTAGGGGGTGTAAAGGAATTAAATATATATTTACTTCTTTTTCTTGGGTAAAAGTCTTTGTCTTCTTTTATGAATTCTTTATACAACAGAGGACAGTCAAGTGATAGTTTTTAAAAATATTTTATTAGTTATTGATGGACTTTTATTTATTTGTTTACATGTGGTGCTGAGAATCGAACCCAGTGCCTCAACATGTGAGGCAAGCACTCTACCACTGAGCCACAACCCCAGCCCCAAGTGATAGGAATTTTTAAGTGAGCCTAAGAGTAGTGAATATTTATACTTACTTTGTGTCACTTGCGTATCCCTTTGCTTCTGGATATTAATTAATAACTAAAGGTTAAAATATTTAAGATGCTATCATATTTGATTAATTTCCATTTGTAAACCATTAGCAACACTGCTCATTGTAGCTTTTATCAAACACCTATAAAAAATGGCCCACAGGTTTGTTTTGGGATGATGTATTTGCCAGAGAAGCTTTTGATCCCATCGTGTGGCTTCCAGAAATACAGAGTGCCATGTAGAGAACATAAGTAAATGTTCTTAGAAAATGAAACGTCAACATTATTGAGGTCATTTATTTATTAGAGTAATCCTTCCATGCAGTCTTTGTGGATTGCCCACCTAGTGATAAATGTCTTGATTCAAAATGCAGAAAGTCCCTGTCATCCTCAAACACACAGCCGACTCCATACTCAATCCCTATGTCATAAAATTAACTTGTTCTTAAATATAATGAATAGTTTTCAAGATTGCAAAAATAGTTGCTGCTTATAATCCAGGGCTTGAACTTATGAGAGTTTGGCAATGAGACTTCCTGTACACAACCTGCTCCCCATGAGAACATTTTGATATACTATTTTTTTTTTTTACCTCTAGTTAGTTAAAAGTATTAATTTTTGTGGGAAAAGTCTGGCTTTCCATTTAAAAGAGATTATGTAAACAGGATCCTTTCTACTAATTTCTCTCTAAATTAGGACACTGGGCTAAAGTACTTTGCACTGCATTTAGGAACATAAAACTAAAGTTAGTTCTCCACATTGTCAAAAGTCTGTTCTTGATGATCTGCATCAGTGGACCTGAAAAAGTCTTGCATACAGAAATAGCAATTCATCCATAAATAATATGGTTTGATTTTAAAATATATTTCATATCGATAGCAAGTTCACTTTCATATTTATATTTGGTTATTCTAAAATATTTTTTAGGAATTAAATATTAGAGTATCAGAGTATATGAGTATATATTTATTAATTTTAAAAAGCCAGGTTTAGAAAGTGACATGAGTTTTCTATGCAACTGAGAACTGACCAAGTAACCTCATAGACACAGTGTTCTGCTGGCCATGTTATGAATGAGTTACTAGAAGCCATGGTTTATTGGCATCAAGAAATGTGAAAACTAGGGCTAGGGATGTAGCTCAGTGTTAAAGTGTTTGCCTAGCATGCACAAAGTCCTGAGTTCGATCCCTAGCACCATAAAGAGAGAGAGAGAGAGAGAGAGAGAGAGAGAGAAATGAAGACACACATAAGAATGATACATGGGGCAAGAAAAGTAAGGCACTTGCTACTTATGTAAACTTGGTCTCTGAGCCTTAGCTAATTCAAGGGCTGTTTCTGGATAATCATACCTACATTGTATCTATCCAAAAATGTACTTCATATGTGCTATGTAAATATGTACTCAGGGATAAAAAAAAAATCAACAGAGGGTAAAGACTCAAAAACAAGTTAGCTCTTTTTGAAAACTATTTATTGAATGATTGGTTGGTTGGATGATTGTGGTGTTTGGGATTAAACCCAGGACCTCAGATATGCCTGAAAAGAATTTTGAAGAAAAAGTTAATCAAGGTAGTTTGGATGGTGGAAATAAATATTTTATTTACTTTCTCAATATGCGGTTCACGGGTTCTTTTTATACTGCTTATAGTATAGGAGACAGATGTCCTAAAGAGAAAAATATTGCTAACAGACGTCACTCCTAAACATAAGAATGCAATAAATAAGAGAAGTCAGACTATGGCACTGGGACTGATTTCCTTTTTCCTTTCCCATGGTCACTTCTTAGAAGAGGGCTTAACTGCTGTGGAAGAAATACCACATCCATATCTTCTTAAAAGAAGAACCACTGAAGAAAAGAGAAAATAGATTTAGATCTTTTATTTTGAATTCTTCACTTCTCTCTCTCCTAATGCTAAAATGTCTCTTATTTTTGCTTTTATCAAAAGTGTTAAAAAAATTAAAGATGTTAAAATGAAAGAAATAAACACCTTCTCAAGATAATTTTCTTTACAGTTCAAGAAAACATTCCATCTGAAAAAGGAATATGTTGAATATATTGATCATGGTCCTCAACTGAGTTTAAGTGGAATGCCTCCAGGTTCCCTAATCCTATAGGGTTGTACGTAATTCTTATAATTACTGAGTAAATGACTGAAGCTTTCATCCTAAGTAATGTGGGTAGTCTCTCCACCCTCCTCATCATTCCTGTACTCATGAGGATTCCTGGGCTCAGGCTTGCATGTGCTGCACCCACCCTTTCTCATCTTGTTCCACCATGTACAGGCATGGACATAGTCATACCTCCTTCATTCTTCTAAGCATTATTCTTTGACACATGAGGGAAGGCAGAGCAGAGGACAGAATTCAGCATTAAGGTTTCACAGCTAGTTTCTTTCTGGTCTTTCTCTTGCTATCTCAGGGCCCACCTCCCTTGGACCTACCTACTCTCATAACTTCTTTTGACCTCTCCATATTCTTTTAGCTTAATGCTGAGATGCCAGCTCCTCACTTCCCTAGTCTAATCCTTTTGTTACATGGCATAGTTTAATTCTCTTTTGCTTTACCTCTATCACCAAGACGAACCCTTGCACCCACCAACCTGCCTTACAACAACACATTTTCTGAGACAAGTTCTGTGGCCCTCTCATTGTCTGGTAACTCTAGTTTCCTTTTAACAGAAATATTTACTTGGTTGTATCCAATATAAATATGGTTCATTGTTTTTAAATAAATCAAGCTTAGTTCTCAACATTGGAAACAAATTTAGCCACAAAAATTTTTCTAACCAGATATTGTTATATCAGTAAACATGTACTGAAATAATCCACATTGTTCTAGTCATTTCATGATAAAGCCTCAAATCCATCTCTGTTAGTCTACTCTATGAATAAAAGACATGTTTAAGAACTCTTTCTAGACTGAGGTGCTCCATCTGTGTCCCTCCTACTCCTCCTATAGGAAGAATTGCCCTAGCCTGTCTTGCTAACCAAATTAATTCTTCAAACTCCATTCTCTATTGACTTGTCAGATTAAAACATTTAATCTGGCTGGAAGTGTAGTGTAAAGTACATATTTAGCATGTGCAAAGCCTTGCATTTAATCCCTGGTACCAATAAATAAATAAAATAATTAAAAGGAAACAAATAGCTCATAAACTTGAATATTGGAATACCTAATCTGAAATGGTTCACACTGCACTCCATTTTTATCAAGATCTTATGATCACCTTCTACATGGAATTTGCTTCAACAAACAACAAAGATGTTTCAGGATGTATTTCATTTGTTTTAGCATAATATTTTCATCCATATCTGCTCTGTAATGAAGAAAGTGGAGTACTCATTGTAGGTAGACTCAGAACAGCTTAGAATTTATTTACTAAATTAAATTCCTAAGAGCACTCATCTAGCCAAGATCTCATCTAGGTAGATAGATCAATGACGTTTCTGGAGAATCATCTTGCTCTAAAGGATCATCTTAAGTAAGCCATGTAGCCTGAGTTCTTATATGCCAAGCAGTCAGATATTAACCTGTTCCCAGGTGGATGAATTCTTTAATTGAATCTACCAAATTACCATTATTTGAGCATTATATAGACACTTATGATTGAAATTTATTAGATGTTAAGGTAATGAAATATGGAGTCATTTGATCATCTAGTTTGGCTAAGATGCGGTATGGGATCAGCATTGTTCAATACATACCTCAGTTCCATGTTTGCTGTATAGCATAGTTACTTGTGGATTTGGTTTGTTCAGTTTTTTGAGCTTGTACTATCAGTCAGTTGTAGGCTTTGAAAGGTACCGAGATAACCATCATATTTCTTTTTTTTTTTTTTAAGAGAGAGAGAGAGAAAATTTTTTTAAATATTTATATTTTAGTTTTCGGTGGACATGACTTCTTTATTTTATTTTTATGTGGTGCTGAGGATCGAACCAGCACCCCGTGCATGCCAGGAGAGCACGCTACCGCTTGAGCCACATCCCCAGCCCCAAACCATCATATTTCTTCTCCTTCTTTTGAGTGGGTGGAGTACTGGGGATTGAACCCAGGGACACTTAACCACTGAGCCATATTTCCAGCTTTTTAAAAAAATTTCTTTTTGTATTTTATTTAGAGACAGGGTCTTAGAGCCTTGCTAAATTGGTCCTCCTGCCTCAGATTCCCAAGCTACTGGGATTACAGGTATGAACACCACACCTGGCTTTCCTCTACCTTTGAAAGACTCCTAATCTAAAGAAGTATTCAGATCTGTAAACACTTTAAGCAATGTGCTATTACATATAGGGAGTTCAGGAGAGTTTCTTGAGAGCAGGGTTTTTGCCTCTTAATTTATTGCCAGATCTTTATTAAACCTTTGCCTGCAGAAGATACTCAAAATGTGTTTGATCTGAACTGAACAGTTGTTTATTTATACCTTGTGATATAAGAACTATAATTAGCTCTGAGTGTCCATCCCCCCAAAAAAAGGACATTTCCTTTTAAACTGCCTATAGGTATGTGGTGGCACATACCTGTAATCTCAGCAACTCAGGAGGCTGAGAAAAAAGGATCACAAATTCGAAGCCAGACTCAGCAACTTAGCAAGTCCATTAGCAACTTAGTGAGACCCTGTCTCAAAATAAAAAATAAAAAGGACTGGGTATGCAGCATGGTGGCAAAAAGCTCCTGGGTTAAATCACTGTTACCAAAAATTAAAATATAAATAACATAAAATATACTATTTGCAGGTGGGTTTTAAAATAAACAGAAATAAAAGGTTCAATCATACACATGCACAGAGCACACAGAGAGAAAGAGAGAGAGAGAGAGAGAGAGAGAGAGAGAGAGAGAGAGAGAGAGAGAAATGCCCAGATAAAAACAATAAAGGGTAAACATATAAAACTAATTGGGAAAAGAAAGAAATTGAAATCAGAATTAAATGACTGCATTTATGGATCAGTTTATTAGAATACATGTTGCTTGAGGGGAAAGACACTTTTCTCTGTTCCTAAGCATTTGTTACACAACTAACCCAGCTCAGTAAATATGCACTTAGTGATAACTAGAATCGGTTCCTGATTATGAAGATGAAAGATTTGATTTGGGGGTAAAAAATAGAAGAAATAAGAACTAAAGATTTGGATTTTGTTTTAAATGAGGAGTATCCCCAACTAAACTGATGCTGGTGGCATGGTTCTGCAGATAATATAGTCAGGTCTCAGTTGAGAGAGCTGCCAAATTGAAGACAGCCTATCTAGTCAAGGGAGATGACATAGAAGGATTTCTCCAAGTTTTCTGTCTTCTCCTAAGGAAGCAGGCAAATTATGGTGTGTTATTTTTAAGACACAGGGAAAAAATAATCTGGTTTATATCATGTTGAAAGCAAAAGTAACACCATATGTTGTGCCCACTGAGAGCCATTATGATAATGCATTAGTCAGAGAGTGTATAATTGCTAAGCTCAGAAGTGGCACTGAGTCACAGCACTGACACCAGCAAATTTTCTGCAATTGGTGTTTGATTCTTTTCTCTCCACCAGGTTTAATAATAATAATAATAATAATGACAGGAGGGCTTCTCTTTTGAGAAGACAGTCTACTATCTTTGGTATGAAATATTTAAAAATACATTTCCATAATCCTTTTTAAATTCAACTACAATTTAATTTTTTTTCTGCCTCATCCAGTCTTACCTTTTTAGAGCAAATCCTGCAAGTATCTCTCTACCTTCTGAAACATTAGTAGAATATCAATTACCTAGAGTATTTATTATTTCCAATTTCCTGTTTTGGATAATCTCTTAGGTTGAATTAACTCTAGGAACGTTAACTTAAACCACATGATTTATCTCTTAGCTTCTATGCTGGGTTAAATTTTCAATTAATACAACAGATATTGCTAAACTGTCTTCTAAAGTTGGGGTGCAAAATTTGTAGCAAACCTAGTTAATGGCAGTCCAAGGCAGTGTCTTATAAATGGTGTATGGACATGAGGCTACCCTTTGGTTTGAGTAAATTATCGTTTATTTACTGTGCTCTTTCCTTCCACTTCATTTTTTTTAAAAAACTCTTGGAGCTCTCTTCTGATCTTCAGACTAACACAAACAACTACCTTCTTTATATCACCTCCTGAATATCCAGTAGGTATCTCAACTTTATAGTTCCCAAACCAGATGGCTGTTAATACATTTAAATCTGTTCTTTCCTCATTCTTCCAATCGCGAATTGATAGCAATTCTGCCTTTCCCCTTGTTTAGGCAAAAATCCCTGGAGTTTCCACTGATTCTTTTCATTTGTTCATACCCTAAATCCAAGCTGCTGCCAAATACCATTGGATTTAGGAGCATAAGATACAAAAAATGTCCAACCATTTCTCTTTAGTAGTTCACTGTTCTGCTTCTTCTCTTATGTGCTTGGAGTCAATTCTCATCTGTATAGCCAGAGTGCCTTATTAAAATGAAAATTAGTCTCTTAATATTGTGTTTTCCAATATGGGAGCCACATTTGGCTATTGAAGTTGAAATTAAAATTGATTAAAATGAAATGAAACCTAAAATTCTATAATTCAGTTCCTCAGTAACAACTAATCACATTTTAAGTGCTGCATAACTACAGGTGGTAAGTGACTACCATAGTGGACAACACAGACATAGAACATTTCCATGAGTCCATAAACTTCTAATTTGTTTCTACAGTGGTTTCCAATATGGCCTCTTGTGATCTGGCACTTCATCTAGACCACCTGCCACTCATCCAACCTCATCTCTTTCTACTCTATCCCTTGGTTACTCAACTCCAATTGAGTGAATTCCTGGTTGGTTCTTAAACAGGTCAAGCATGTGTCTGCTTTACATCCTTTGCTGTTGCTTTTTTCTCTATCTGGAGTAATCTTCCCTCTGATGTCTACATGGCTTGCTATTAGGTCTTTGCTCAAATGTCACCTTATTAAAAAGACTCTCTGTGACCACCGTAGATAAAATGACACTTCTTCAAATTCATTAGCCTCCTCATCCCTTATTCTGATTAAATTTTCACTTAGCACTTATCCTCATCTGACATGTCTACTTATTTATTTAACCCACTCCTTCATCTGTGCTCCTTAAATTGACTTCCACAAAGTATGAGAATTTTATTTTGTTCACTGCTCTTCCCAAACATCTAGTGTACTGGTTGGCAGGAGGTAAATGAAAGAAAGAATAAGTGAACATGTGAATTTTATTCTGTTATCCAGGGACCAGTGGTTGGGACAAGCTGTGGAAAAAGTATGGATCCCGCCTACCCAGAGATGACCTCTGCCAGTATGTCACATCTTCTCACCTTACTCAGATGCTGGACAACCTGGGGATTAAGTATGAGTGTTATGACCTTCTGTCCACCATGGACATTACTGACTGTTTTATTGATGGTAATGAAAATGGAGACCTGCTGTGGGATTTTTTGACAGAAACCTGCAACTTTAACACAACAGCACCACCAGATCTCAAAGCAGAAATTATGAAAGATCTCCAGGAGCCTGAATTTAGTGTTAAGAAAGAGGGGAAAGTCCTTTTTAATAATAGTTTGAGTTTCATTGTGGTCGAGGCGTAACTATCAATCATGGCAGCATATTCAAAAGTTATATTTTGAACAATTATTGATCATTCATTTTCATACTAAAATTACCAGTGCATCTCAGAGTATAGGTAAGAGCATTGCGTATCTGTAATCTCGAAAATTCCAAAACACTCTTGGACTTCAATGCAGAATCCTATGGAATACTCTGGTTTTATCTATCCATGAGAGACCACATGCAGACTGACTAAGCATCACATAGCTGGGAATATGAGACAACTGAGATTCACAGGCCTATTGATAATATGATTCTTTCCATTTGTTGATTGTAATGGAATTTTCTAGCATATTAAGAAAATATATACTATGGATTTTTTAATTAAGAGTAGGCATTTTTAGAACATTACAAATTAGCTCCTTGTCATATGCTATCCTTTCTTCCCATTTTGTTTTCTCTTGTAATTTTATCATGATTTAGTTATGTTTTGCTCGTCTTTTTGATATGTTGTACTTTTGTATTTTATTCAGCCTGATTTAGGGTTTTTCTTTTTTTTTTTTCTTTTCTATTTTCCAGCTGACACACTTTAAAATATTAATATATTTTATCATAATTTTATAGTTTCACTTTTTAAAAAATAAAACAGTAATATGCTTGAAATTTATATGTTTAAGAGTAATATTGCAAATAAGCTATTTCTCCTGAAATAATAGCCACGTAAACAAAATTTATGGAAAAACAAACAATAAAACTCTCAACTTGAAATGCACTGTGATAATTTAGATATGAGGTGTCTCCCCCGAAAGCTCATGTGAGAGAAAATTTAGAGGTGAAATGATTGGGTTATGAGAGTCTTAATCTAATCAGTGCATTAGCTCTCCATTTGAATGGATTAGCTGGGTGGTAACTGTAGGTAGGCAGGGTATGGCTGGAGGAGTCAGAATACTGGAGTTGTGCTAGTGGGGTTTATGCTTTGTCCCTTGTGAGGAGAGCCCTCTCTCCTTTCTTGTTGCCATGTCCTGAGCTGCTTCTTTCACCATACCCTTCTGCCCTGATGTTCTGCCTCACCTCAAGCCCAGAGCTATGGAGTCAGCCACCCATGGACTGAAACCTCTGAAACTGTGAGACCCCCAATAAACTTTTCCTTGTCTACATTGTTCTTGTAAGGTCTCTGTCACAGCAGCAAAAAAGCTGATGAAAACCCATACCTTGTACCATTTACAAAATTTGTATAAAACCTTGAATTTATTTTGATATTTTTTAATCCTTTATATTGCTTTAATACCTCTTCTTAAGGCCAAAATCATCTTGGACAGTAGATTTCAGGGGATTTTTAAAAATTTATTTGATGGTCCCTATTTTATTTTTAATAATAAGTCCTTGTCATTCTTATAAAAGCAATGTATCTTTTAAGGTAAATAATTAAGTAAAAATAATGGATAAATAATATTTTAAAGTGGGTATATACTTAATATTCCCTGCCAAAAGAGAATAAAAGTAAGGTCTTCCTACAAAACTCATAGATTCTCATTCTGACAGTGAAACAGCCTCCAGCCCAGGACGGTATTCAGTCTTTCCTGTTCGAGCATTTCCTCTCAGCTCTGCAGTAGAGTCACTTTAAAAAGACTGGATACCCTTCCTTAATCCCCTAGCTCATTCCCAGGGAGTATGCAGGTACAGAGCCTATTTAAACTAACAAATTACCAAGCTTTGTCGTTCATAATAAGTAAAACTGACTTGTATTGATCTCTTTTCTTGAACAACTTCATCAATGTTTTTTTGAATTATAAATTCCAACAAATAAAACGACAGTTATCTAGTCAGATTTCTGAACATGAACATTGAACCATTAATCATCTTGATATGTACTACTGACAAAGGAAATCAGGGAGGCACACATGAGTGATGGATATGAGGCCAGGATGACCTTGAAAAGCTTCACCAGATGAATAGAAATCAAGACTCTATACAGCAAATGATGGACTTCTGTACAAAGCACATGTGCAAGAAGAAATAAAAACTAGAGCCAACAGAACCTATATGCTATTAAAAGTAGAAAATAATAGAAGTGCAATATAGATTAGCATTTATAAATATGACTATTGTTTCATCCCTATAAGGCCTTTCCTAAGAAACACAGGATAAATACTTACCTGCTTCAGTTTAATGCAGTGAGAATACACAAGTCTTCTTTAACAGGAAAATGCCCATAAGGACATACTACTTAGTGACTGAAAGCCCTCCAGGTTCAAGGGATGGAACTATTGGCTTCTTTCCAGCACTACATGATGTTACAAAGGTTTTGGGTCAGTCACATGTTGACTTTTAAAGTTTTTTTTCTGTGATTCTGAAAGAAGTCTCATAAGCATGAATTTAGAATGTTTTATATACCATGTGTATCTCTGTGTTTGCTATGGTGCCTTCATATGGTAGGTGCTAAGACAAAGGTAGGTGTGGTGGCACATATCTGTAATCCTAGCAACTCGAGAGGCTGAGACAGGAGGCTTGCAAGTTCAAGGCCAGCCTCAGCAACTTAGCAAGGCCCTACCAATTTAGCGAAACCCTGCCTTGAAAAAACAAAAAAAAGTTTTAAAAAAGGGCTGGGGGTGCAGCTAGTGGTAAAGCACCTCTGGGTTCAAGCAGCAGTACCAAAAGGAAAAAATAAAGAAAAGGTGATGGATAAATTCTTCCCTTTTCAAGCATCTATCCTACACCTTATCTGTTGATATTATTATTGTAAGCATAACTCAAAATACTCAAACAAGGGTCTGAGGTCAAGCTTAGTGGTAGAGTGTTTGCATGGTATGTTATGATGTCCTAGGTTCAATCTCCAAGACAGCAAAAGAAAAAAGAAGGAATAGTGTGGACTATTTCTCACACATTTTTTTTATGTTTGTCATTAAACAGTATGGCTAATATCCAGAAAGAAAGTATAATGTGGGACCAATCAGTATTTTAGGGTCTTCATATTTGCTTGCTATAAAAATTGGTGACTTTCTTAATTGACAATTCTGCCATTCTGGGCCCCCAAATTAAGTAATATCCAGGGCACATCCATAAAAAGAGAGGCAAAATTGGAGAGTACTAGATCTTAGGTCTGTGAAACTGACAGAACCAAATGTATATTTAATGTATTTTAAATGTGTATTTTTAAATGTGTATTTAATAAGCATAGTTTGTACATAATATCTTGTCATTTTGAAAACATATTTATATGTGTTTACCTCATGGGAATGTTTATTTCTAGGAAAATATTGCCTTCCTATCAAGTGCTTGTGGACTGAATGGATAAAAATAGTCTTGTTAGATGAAGCTACAGAACCAGACGTCCTTGGGTTCAAATCCTGGTTGTGTTAATCACTCTCCAAATGACCCCAGGCAACATATTTTCTCTGTTTTCACATTTCTTCATACACAAAATGAAGAGAATCATAGTACCTACCTCAGAGGATAGCTGTGGGGATTCCCAAGGTTAAGCTATATAGAAAATATTAACTATCAGTATTATTAGTTACACATAGAAATTTAATATAAAATGCAGAGCAAATAAGAAACTAATATTAAGAAAAGTTGTAAGAGAATGGGGAGTTGGTACATGGAAGAAGCAACCTAATTTCCAACCTTGTGATTCTTAGTCAAAGGCATATGGCCTCTCTCTTTCTGCCAGAGCAAAGCTGGCACTCTCAGAACCATCTGGGTTGGGCCATTCAAGGTCCTCCTTAAGGGATCCGCCTCCCTTTAGCCCTAGTGCTCTATGTGCCTGTGCTCTGCCACATGAAGTGGCCCCATCTCATTCCTGTCTAATCAGACCAAGGAATGGGCAACTGGCCATGGATGACAACTCACAGGTCAGCCAGAAATTGATTAGAGTATTCTCTTTTGAAAAATATGAAATGAATACATTAAATTCTCCTCTTAGAAATTTGGAATCACAAATCAGGAACAGCTGCACATTCATTCACTCATTCACTAAATATACATTCTCCAATATTAGTTGAGTACCTCTTAGATGTGAGTCATTATGTTAAGCAAGAGATATAGTTGTTAAAAATAATAAAAGTTTCTGACATCATTGACTTGATATATAAGAGTGAAAAAGATAAAAATAAATGTATGTCAGAAAGAGACAGGCAATGTTCATAAAATAAAAGTGAATAAAGGAAAAGGAATACTAGAGTGGATAGCACTGAGTGGCTACGGGAGGTCTTACATTAAAAAGGGACATCTGGTGGGGAATGGAAGGACAGCCGAATGAAATAGACATTATTATTGCTGTGGGTATATATGTGACTGCATGACTAATGTAATTCTGCAACCTGTACACTCAGAAAAATGAGAAATTATATCCCATCTGATTCAAATGTATATGTCAAGATCATTGTACTGTCAAATTAAAACAAATTTAAAAAAGAGACATCCGAAGAGTGATTTAAATGCAGCAGTAAGGGAACAAGTCCTGTGAAGTGTTAGGACAAAGTATCTGAAGAAGGAAGTACAAATGTAAAGGCCCTCATATGGGAATAAGCCTGATGTGTCTGGAGAGCAGTAGTGACATTTGTGACTTCCTATAGTAGCTGACCTCTAAAGTCATAAGACAGTTTCAGCCCAGAGTGGCCACTGTGGGCCCATGCAGGAAGACCCATTAGGAAGCCACAGTTTGAACAAGAATGGACCAGTCTTGTGTAAAGAATGAGAGATGCCAGGAGTATAAGATGGCATGACTTTTGAAATGCAGATGAGCTTTGGTTGTTTCAAGAATGCTCCTCACCATTCTACTTCCTGTCTATGTCTCTCCTGAAAACAGACAACCTTTTCCTGGCAGGATCTATGTGGGTGTCTACCTTGTGCCCTTCAAATTCCCTAGTTAGAGCAAATATAAGATCTCATGAGATTTTTACTCAATGAATTAGGAAGATCAGTTGTTAATTATCCTACTTTTCAAATGAGGAAATTTGAGATACAAGCTAAATAACGGCCTAGCTCTCAAAGCAGGTTGGTTAACAGGAAGTAAGCTAGACTCTAGGCTTTCTGACTCCCCACTGTGCATCAGGATTTGGACAAATTAAGTTTATGATCTTCTTTCATCTTAGAGGTAGAGTAAGACTTCATAGAAATAAATCACCTTTGCCGCCAAATGTCCATTTGTAAACTGAAAGGGTCTGATTATAGAAGGGACAAAGCAGCAATTGGAGGATCAGAGTAGTATGAAGAAAAATCATCTCCTTGAATGGTGAAATAGCACTCTTTCTGAACACCACACTTTACTAATAAGTTTGTGTTAAGCCAGCAGCAAATACCTGGGCTCTCCCATTCATTCACTTTGACTTATATTTGCCTATATTTCTCTGACTCTATTTCTACCTGTTCCCAGGCATCACCAATTTCATGTTTAAATTATCTGTCACACATATTCTAGCTCCCCTATGATTCATACACTGTGTAATACACATCCATAGTACACGATCAACTAATGCAAGGTAGTTAAAGCTACGGATCATGTAATCCATTTCTCAGTGTGATATACACCATGAAAAGCTAACTGCAATAAAAGGTGGGGGGGTTGATTTACGAGGCTCCTTGGACATCAAGAGTCACAATTTCCAAACGTGCCAAAAATTCATTAGAGCTCTGTGTCAGATTGCTGTAATCTCTGTGGCAATGGATTAATAAATATAGTGATGCGCTGTTCTGGAGGCTGAAATGACACATTGTGGATGTTCTGTATAAGCAGTGTCTTCCTACGATCATATTCTTCTCTTGAAGAATTATCTGTGTTTCCTGATTCGTCTTAATGATACTTGAAGGACTTTGCAAACAACCTGCCTAGGGTAGAAAATGTTGAAATAAATCATGGGGGCCATCAACTGCAGTCCAGGGTTGGTGAGTTCTCCAAAGACATTCGATACAGAAGACGCACAGATATGTCAGTACCTCTATTTATGTCCTACAGCTAACTAATTTCATGCTAATTTCATTTCTATACCATGATTCCCTTTTCTCCACGTGTTGATGTATGGGTTTCATGAGTTAATTCTCTAGTTTTCAATGCAGGCAGACTGGACATAAATCCCAGGGTTTTGTGGAAGAGGCAGTTGTTCCATGCTACTTATTATCGGCACAAGCACCTTGCAGCTGTAGCTTATTTATCAAGATATTGCTGTTCTTCTGCACATTTTCAAGAGACTTCATCTACCCTACTGTAGCTTTAATGGGAGGTGGCTTGCTATTTTTGTGGTTGTTTATTATTATTATTATTTATTTATTTTTATTCTTCCAGAGAAGAATTTGGAGTTCTTTCTCATTGTTTAAAAGTTATCAGAAAATGAATTGGAGAAGGAAACTATCTAGGGCTTATTGCTCCACGAGAAGCCTTGCAGGATGGATTTGTTGGGGTATTGGCAGTTCATGAGTTTCCCATCTGTGTGTCCTAGGGATGGAGCAAATCCTGGAACCTCTGCTTGGCTGCTTCCCTCTGTTTTCCTTGGCCTCTCGTGATTTCCAGCTTGAAAAAGAGTTAATCATGGAGTAAGATTCTTTGCTAAATAAAATAGACCATAGAGAATTTTAAGGATTCCCCATTAACAATAATTAATATTTATTGAGGCCTTCATAGATGTCAGGCACTGCTGTAAGTGTTTATATGCATTATATAATCTAATCCTTGTACAAGTTTATGAGTGATTTAGTATTTTTATTCCAATTTCACAAAGAAAGAAACTGAGATTTGCCTGATTAATGTTCCCTATGTTCTTAAATCTTGTGGAGCCGGAGTTCCAACCCACACAAGTTAACCCCAAAGATGTTCATAATCACTGGGTCTTGTGGCTTTTAATGTACTACTGTTTATTCTCTGTCCCTTTCTATCTTCAATATTCATGGAGGAATTATCTCCTAGCTTCCAAATTTTCCTATGCACTGAGCTCAGCTGAGGTCTCTGATATGAAAATAGCACCTGTTTGACTTAATCAGCTTTGGCTCAACAATGTATTATCTTCAAAGGTTAGCCCCTATGTGACTGGACTTGCCTCTTGGGCAGGGGAGGACAATCTCAGTGAATTGATCTATTATTTTGACCTTGCAAAAACATCCTCAATAACTGAGCATCCATAACAAGAGACTATCAAGATAAAACCTGTGTATCTCCAACTGGTGAGATGTGTGAGACCCTCTGGCAGAGGCTGTTATTACTCCTACTAACCCCCCTGCCCAATTCTATGCTAATGGAATGTCTAATTCTTTGCTAAGGACATAGCAGTCCCTTAAAGTTGCGTATATAACTAAGTTCTAGGCAATAGGATGTGAGAAGTGGCAACACAATTTGTAAGATAGACTGATAGTGGAAGAAATACATTCTCCTATTCCATTTGCTCCTGGATAGCTGCAATGTGGATGTGGTAGGGAGCTATCTTAGACCATGCAGAAAAGGGCAGCAACATACTAGGAAATATGGATCAATGTGACAGAAGAAGTCAGTCCCCTGGACCTGCGCGAGAAGGTTTAGGGGAGGACTGCCTGTCGTCTGACTATTACGAGACATAGAAATGATGTTTTACCTTGTACGTGCTATGTTAACTTGTTCGTAGTAATAGCAACTATATTCATATCCTAACTACCATAGCTAGGTTATTCTGACCCAAGTCTTCCCCAGCTTTCTCAGAATATTTTTTCTAATCTATAAAGGAGTATAAAAACATTTTGAAAATAATAAGAGCAATAGTTTGAGAAATACAATACTGGTTGCATTGGTGCTAGGAAAATGTGTGACTATTTCAGATAGGGCCAAAATATCAAGATGAGAAGTATGCCCATGTGTCAGTCACCTGGATTCTAGATGTTTAATCTGCATGATGTCAGGTATCCACCCAAAAAATGACTTAGTTTGTTTCAACAAATAGAGAAACGAGCATTAACAGATTCTATAAATGGAACCCATGTACTGCTTTTTAAATTTCAATAGGGTGAAGAATCACCTGGGAGGCTTTTGAGATATGCAAATGACATGGTTCAATACCAAATCGAACCATGTGTGCTGTCCAGGATAGTTTTATGAAGAGATCAGGTGATTTTCTGGTTCATCAGAGCCTCCAAACCTATAAGATATTGAGGCTTATAAGGAATTTTGTAATAATAATGAAAAGGAATAAGTACATAAACATTACATTATGTATTAACCTATGTAGACCAGTATTTCTTCAAATGCTACTAATACTCTATCACTACTATTAATATTAATGCTATTTATAATGAATTGAGTACTTATTATGTTTCAGGCACTATGCAAAAATCTTGATGTCTTATTTCACTTGAATTTAATTATTAAAAAGTCAGTCTTTGGGGGCTGGGGTTGTAGCTCAGTAGCAAAGCACTTGCCTAGCACATGTGAGGCACTGAGTTTGATCCTCAGCACTACATAAAAATAAATAAATAAAACGAAGGTATTGTGTCCACCTACAACTAAAAAAAAATTAAATAAAAAAGTCAGTCTTTTAAAATTATTCTCATTTTTTAGATTCAGACTCTGAGGTATAATAAATTTAGGTAGATGGGCACACTGTATAAGATAAGTAGTAAAGCTGTCTTCTGGAAGTGTCTCTCTTCAAAGTCAAAATGTTTAATTCTTATATTCTAAGACCTCTCTGATTCTTAGAGCCATCATCATTCAGGAAAAAAAAAAACAAAAACAAAAACATTGTTTTCTGGTTGTGATGGTTCATACCTGCAATATCAGACTTTGAAGGCTAAAGCAGGAGGATCACAAATGTGAGGTCAGCCTCAGCAACTCAGCAAGATCTTGTCTCAAAATGAAAAATCAAAATAAAAAGGCTGGGGATGTAAAGCACATCTGGATTCAATCCTCAGTACCACAAAATGATGAGAAAGAGGAGGAGAAGTAGGAAAGATAAAAGAAAAACTGTTTCAATGACTGTTCAAGTAATAAAAGTAACAAGTGCATGGGTGCTCCTTATGTTTGTACCAGGCATTTGAAGATACCATGTAGCACCTATGCAGGGAAAACATGAATTTGAAAATTTGAAGAGAAGGAAAAGCATAAAAACGTGTTTTTGTTTTGTTTTTTAGTTTAAAAATAACCTTTTTAAAAATTAGCTATTTCACACACACCTTTTATAGATGTTAAGTTACTTTCAGGTATGCAAGATTATGACTGCTCTAAAATTCTCATAATTTTTAATTCACAAAAACTTAACTTAAAAATCTTTAAGTGAAACATTTAATTGTCATAGTTGAATTTTACTGTTTTGTTTTGTTTTTTGGGGGGTGTTTTTGCCTGCATTTACTGTTAGGGTAAGCATTTTTCAATTTTGTCAGTTTTCATCTCTGTGTGTATGTATAGAGAATGTGTGTGTGTGTGTGTGTGTGTGTGTGTGTGTCTGCTTCAGTATATCACACACAC